TTTGTCCAATCTTCCACTTCTTGTAAGCTTCTTTTTTGTGTGAGTGCCCACAACCACGGGAGCAGAAAGGCGTCTGATGGAGAGCCTGTGTCGATCCCCCGAATCAAGCAGAAAACATGGCACTTTCTGCTCTGCCTGGATGCAAACAAGTCCACCCGAGGAGTCCCCCGTGTTTGGAAGATGATGCTGACCACCTCCAGATGGAGTGACCATTCATGGTGAGATGAGCAGGTCCTGCTGAGGGGAACTGCCAATATGTTCCTGGTCCCGAGGTGCACGGCTGCGAGATGAATGGCACGATGAAAACAGAAGTTCCACAGCTGAATCGCTTCCTGGCAAAGGGCTGACAAGTGGGCTCCACCTTGTTTGTTGATATAGAACATTGCACCAGTGTTGTCTGTCAGGATCTAAACCACCCTGACCCTCAGATGAGGCAGGAAAGCTTGGCAGGCCAAGTGAACCGCTCTGAGCTCTCTGATATTAATGTGGAAGGGGCGATTGTGACTCAACTAACGTCCTTTTGTGCTGAGATCATCCAGGTGGGCTCCCCAAACCAGATCCAAGGCACTGGAGACCAGGGTTACTGATGGGGATATGGCCGCAAAGGGGACTCCCTCCAGCACCGAGACGGGATTTGACCACCATGCGAGTGACGACAGTATGTGGTCTGGTACCCTGACTATGCAGTCTATGTTGTGTCTGTTGGGGAGGTAGACCAACACCAGCAACACCTGTAGGGCCCTGAGATGGAGCCGCGTGTGCCAGACCATTTAAGTACAGGCTTCCAGGCGGCCCAACAATCTCAGGCACATGTGAGCGGTGGTGAGAGGTTTGGCTCACATGTACAAGATCAGAGCTGTCATGGCTCAGAAGCAGGTCTCGGAGAGAAAGGTTCTGGCCCGAGTGGAGTCGAGGACCACCCCACTGAACTCTATCCATTGCACTGGTATCAGAGTTGATTTTTCTTTATTTATCAAAACACCCAGATCACGACAGGTGGAACATACCAGATCGAGGTTCCTCTGCACCTGACCCCGAGATCAACCCTTGATGGGTTGCAGGGTCTTAGGCACATCCAGTACCAGGTGCAGTGTATTAGGTACCAGTAGGACCATCAAGTCTTTAGCCACCTGGGCAACCTCGGGTGTTGCAGGCCCCAGTAGGAGCCGGACTCCCCTACCGCTCCCAGGAGTCGGAGGAAGATCCCTGGTTGGGCTAGAGGGTCTGACCACAGCAGCACCCCGTTGCAGCTCCATGGTGAGACCCCTTCCCCTCCTTGGATGGCGCTGGGGAGTTTCTTTTCTTTTGCCGCCTTTTGAGCACTGGGGAGGGGGAATGGTGCCGGGAGGAACCTGGTGCCGGCGGAGTGCTCTGCACTGACGCTGAGGTGCTGGGCACACAGTCCAATCGTGAAAGCTCCAACACCAGGCAAAGTGCAGCCTCCATGGGGAGGGCTTTCAGGCAGATGACCCGCTCTTTCTGGGTTCTGGGACAAAAGTTCTTACAAATCCTGCACTTCTCCTTTATATGGGACTCTCCCAAGCACTTCAAACAGCTGCTGTGGGGGTCACTAACAGGCATAGGCCTGTTGCGTGATGAACATGGTTTGAAGCTCAGGGAATGGGGCATGCCCCGCTCTGGGGTGAAGTCCCTGCTGGGACTCTAACTAGTAAACTAACACCTAACACTTAACATTTAATAGCTAACTAACTATCTGAGAACTATATACAAAGAAGACAGTCAATGGGCTGTTAGAAAAACCGCTAACACTCTTGCGAGGCAAGACAAGGCACTCCGACAAACTGTCACGGCGGGTAAGAAGGAACTGAGAGGGTGTATAGGACCGGTAGCACCTAATATACAGATGCATGAGCACGGCACTCCAGAGGGCGCCACAGCTGGCCCTATGGATATCGCTAAGGCAAAAATCTCCAACAACTGTGCACGTGGGCACACACACACACCTAGAATGGAATCAACATGAGCAAGCACTCAAAGGAGAATTCTTAATTTCATTTTATTTACTCCAATTACACAGCAACTTCCAATCAAACTCAAACTGCAGCACTCCACTCTTGACCTACTATGAAACACTATCTCACAAGGCCTGGACAAAAGTGTACATATGAACCAGCAATGTCATCATGCTCTTCCCTCATTATTATATTTCCTCTAAAGTACATAAACATTTATTTTCAAATGAGTGTAGCTGCCCTTAGTGAGCAAACCAACCCACTCTTCTCCTAACACTAACTTTCTCAGTTCCTTTTATTAGTATTTCTTCCACTGATTTAACATCACCATAATGTGCGCACCAACAAAAAGCACTTTGTGAAAAAATCATTTGTATAAATCTAAAATTTAGTAGATCTCAAAATATACCTTGCACAACAACTTGGCTTCCAGGTACAAAAAACTGCTGTGTGCCATCAGGTGTTTGTGCTGCATATTGCACAATGGTAGCACCTGGCTGAGGAGCTCCTGAATTTGTCATTGTTAATGTCTGCAGTCCCTGGACGCCATCAGATGCTGGATTAGAAATCTGGATTGCTCCACCTTGGGCTATGGCAACTAAACGCAAAAAGAAAAAAACAGATTACGCAATAGAAACAAATATATACAACATATTATACTATATTTACCACTTTTGGAAGAAAGTTTTTTTTCATCAGATAGGGACTTCCAATCATCTCTGTGCTTAAAGAAATTTGCAGAACTAACACTATGGCATGGCATGCTGAATTAATATACACCTCTACTCTGATATAATGCTGTCCTCGGGAGCCAAAAAATCTTACCGCGTTATAGGTGAAACCACATTATATCGAACTTGCTTTGATCCACCGGAATGCGCAGCTCCCCTCTCCCCCGCCCTCCCCCGGAGCACTGCTTTACCGCGTTATATCCAAATTTGTGTTATATCGGGTCGCGTTATATCAGGATACAGGTGTATTTTTAAAAAATTGTACCAGCCTCTTATGTGCCATTCTCCTATTTTGTATTATTCACTTTTTGGGTCAATCACATGGAGAATGCACTACTTCACCCATTTTTTTTTCAGTTTTTAATCCCAGCAACTCTAATATTTCCATAATAATTTCCATATAAGACTGATAAAGACAAAGCATCAAGGTCTCGGGGAAATGGAGTAAGAAGTTGAGGGTAATTATAACAGATGCAACAGGAAAAATAAAAAGACATTCAAATTTATCCTGACCCTTCCATAAGATGCAAAATACTGGGGATCAGGAGGAAGGGAAAAGGGTACCTTTCCCTGGAACTCAAAATCTTCCTCCTTTTCTCAAGTTAGGATGTCTAGGTTTAGGCTCATTGCACTTTAAGTTTCTCTATATGAGAAAAGACTGGAAAATTTTGTTTTGAGATACTAAAATGTGAAAATAAGAATCTATTATCATGCAGTCAAAAATATGAAAGAAAATGTATGTATACATTTTGCCCATATCAGCTTGATTAAACTCTTCCATGTGACTCACAGAATATTCAGCATAATAAGTGTTTTGTAAAAATCAAATTCATTGAAGGGTTACATGCTAATTTCAGCAGAAGTTCACAAATACTCATTTAAAAACAGGTTTCAAAGTAGCAGCCGTGTTAGTCTGTATCCACAAAAAGAACAGGAGTACTTGTGGCACCTTAGAGACTAACAAATTTATTAGAGCATAAGCTTTCGTGGACTACAGCCCACTTCTTCGGATGCATATAGAGTGGAATAAATATTGAGGAGATATATATACACACATACAGAGAGCATGAACAGGTGGGAGTTGTCTTACCAACTCTGTCCACATATCTATTCAAGTGACATTATCATAGGACCTAATCACATCAGCCATACCATCAGGGGCTCGTTCACCTGCACATCTACCAATGTGATATATGCC